ACAACAGCGAGAATGAACCTGACCTGCCTTGTAAACTCGTTTGAGATCTGTGGGTGGAAAGCCCTGTCGGAAAGCTAGAGTCTTGCTGGAGGAAATTGGGTCTTCCCTCATAATAATAAAGTGCATTTACCAGTATTAAATACATTGGTTCCCCGAGCAAAAGAATTGTAGCAGCGAAACCACTTTAATGCCTGAGGAATTGTGTCTACACTAGGGCTTTTAATTGGTATAAAAATGGTCATCAGAAATCATTCCCCACCCCCCAGTAAACACAACTCAAGGGGTGACATTTCTACGTAGACCTGGCGACGGGGAGAGGAGGGGCGGATGTTGTAATAAAAGCAGGAAATTACCCACCTCAATCTATTTAAAGAATCAGGTGGAAATATGATTTGTCTTTCCTTTTGAAACAAAACAGGGAGAGAACTTTTTCTTTAAACCACCCCAAGCTGCCTCCTTCCTCTCCCCACAACCTCCAAACAGGGGGTGGGCAGTCATTCTTGATGGGGAGCCCCCACTCCAAACTTTTGGTAAGTGGTCAATGGCCGCTCTTTTCTATAGAGGGGCCGGGGGCTTTGGGATGGAGGTTAGGAGCAGAATGGAGCTCGGGGTAGGGAACTGGGGTGCAGGAGAGGCTGTGGGGTCTGAGAGGGAGTGTAGGTGAAGGAGGGGTTCACAGAGCACAAAGCTCCGCCTTTCTCCCCTCCCCATGGCACAGAAAGGCAGATGGAGCAGCCAGCCGCTCTGAGCTCTGGAGCTGCTCTCTGTCTGTGGGCCCCGTGGGGTGAGCCGCAAGCTGGATTTAAAGCCTTGACGGGCCGGATCTGGCCCCTGGGCCTCATCTGGCCTTCAGGCCGGATCTTGCCCATCCCTGCCCTAAACTGTCTGCCATTGCAATTGGCTGTGCAATGCGCATTTTGCAGCATTGAGGGCTGCGGTGTGTTTCGTTCTCCCCCCGAAACGTCACGGCAAAAGCGCAGGGCAGAGCTTGTAACTGTCAGGCCCCCTGGTCCCTCCATGAGCAAAGCCCTTGCCTTTGTGTGCTCTCTCCCCGGCTCAGCCTCTTGCGAGATTGGCTTCCATTAATAAACCAATTTGATAATAAACCACTTGATAATAAACCGCCTGATAAAGCCGAGTGACCTGGATCATGCTCACTTGCTGGGAGTGTGTGTGTGTGTCTGTGTTTGTGTGTGTGCGTGTATGTGTGTGTGTGTATGTTCCCTTCACAGTCCCTGACTAGCATTTCATCTTCACTCCACTGGCAAGTAACAAAGGGGGAGATTGTTTTCTCCTTTAATCCATCAGAGAGCCCTTTCCTATGTAGCACATGAAACACTTGGCCTGTCCAAGCTCCCTCGACAGCTCTTTGGTGCCAGGGGAAAACTGGGTTTCCTTTCTTATTAAATAAACGGGGAGCCCTATTCACTAGCTACAGCCAATGCCCCGTGATGAAAAGGATTTCAGGAATCATACCCGGTGACATAGGAGAGCAGAGATTGGTGGCCAACACAAGTCAGATTCCTGACCCGAAAAACAACAGCACCAGTCCTTACGCAGCATGGGTAGATTTCTCAGCCCTTGTTTCTAACTCTACGTACAATATGACGGGTATTGAATTAGCTACCACATCCAGGGAGAGAGATCTTGAAGTCACTGCGGAAAGTTCTCTGAAACCAGCCATTCAATGTGCAGCAGCAGTCACAGAAGAGCACCCCGAATGTTGGGGATCATGAAAAAAGGGATAGCGAATAAGACAGAGAACATCGTGTTCCTGCTGTATAATTCCATGGTTCGCCCACATCTTGAATACTGTGTGCAGATGGGATCGCCTCATCTTAAAAAAGATATCTTGGCATTTGAAAAACTTCAGAAAAGGGCAACAAAAATAATTAGGGGGTTGAAACAGGTCCCATATGAAGGGAGACTGGGACTTCCCAGCTTAGAAAAGGAGACACTAAGGGGGGGACATGATAGAGGCCTATAAACTCACGACTGGTATGGAGAAAGTGAATATGGAAAAGTGATGTATTTGTTCCCATAACTTAAGAACTAGGGGTCACTGAATGAAGTGAATAGGTAGCAGGTTTAACACAAACCAATGGAAATATGTATTCACACAGCACACAGTCATTCTGTGGAACTCCTTGCCAGAGGATGTTGTGAAGACCAGGATTTTAATGGGGATCAAAAAAGAGCTAGCTAAATTAAGGGAGGATAGGTTCATTGATGGCTATTAACCAGGATGGGCAGAAATGGTGTCCGTAGCCTCTGTTGACAGAAACTAGGAATGAGCGACAGGGGTGTGATTGCTTGATGATTCCTTGCTCTGTTCATTCCCTTAGGGGACACCTGGCACTGGTCACTGTCAGCAGACAGGATACTGCGCTAGACGGACCTTTGGTCTGGCCCAGTCTGGCCGTTCTTATGATATTGTCTGGTGACATTTGGTGGCTTTCTTACAGCCCCAGCCTGAGGGATTATTTGAATATGCAAGAATCTCAGCTTTCACTAAAGAGGCCATGTCTAGCTCTCGCTGTTGCAGAGGAAAGCTTGAAAATAATTAAAATACAATAAACTGGAAATGCAGATGTACTGAGAATGATTTGAACAGAAATAACAGAACATATAAAAAAGGAACCCCAAATATATTTTTAATACAATCTTATGGGCGTGAGGAGCAGTTAAACCCATCTCATCATTTTCAGCGGCATGATACGTTTTCTACACTTTTGGGGTTAGTGCTGGTTTTGATGCTGGATTAGCCCTCGGATTGTTACCCCAAGCTAGCTTCATGGTGTTTGTTAGTTAATACAGATTGAAGCTCTCTAGTCCAGCACCCTCGGGACCTGACCGATGCTGAACCAGAGAATTTACCAAACCATGGGACGTGAATATTGTCTAGCAGCATTACCAACACTTCCACTGCTTCCTGGGCCCCTAGAAGACATTTAGGGGTGGATTAGAGCTAAATAACAGCACCAAAAACTGAGAGCTAGGACTTGTGGCTGTAAACAAACTTTAGGGGACTATGGGAAACTTGGCCACAACCATGAAAAGTGGACATCCAGCTAACTAATATCATGCCGGACCACAGAGGTTGCTGGACCAGAGAGTTCTGGACTAGAGAGGTTCCACCTGGATCTGCCAAAGAATTGGTGCATTCTAGCAGCACAGGGTAAGTTCTGCACTGTCTGGCAAATCAGAATAGCAGAACAGCCAAATCTCAGCCTACAAGCAAGTTTCCATTGTATAACATGCTACACAAACACGGACCGATTAGATTATTCCTGCCCCTGAATAACTTATGCTCTCGTTACATTTTTCTTCCCATCCCCATTTTAGTGTTATTTTATTCTGAGCTTTTAAGAACATAAGAACGTCCATACTGGGTCAGACCAATGGTCCATCTAGCCCAGTATCCTGTCTGCCAATAGTGGCCAATACCAGATGCCCCAGAGGGAGGGGACACAACAGTCAACCCTCATGTGATCCCTCCCCTGTCACCCATTTCCAGACAAACAGAGGCTAGGGACACCATTCCTAAGCATCCTGGCTAATAGCCATTGATGGACCTAACCGTCATGAATCTATCTACCTCTTTTTGAATGCTGTTAAAGTCCTAGCCTTCACAACCTCCTCTGGCAAGGAGTTCCACAGGTTGACTGTGCGCTGAGTGAAGAAAAACTTCCTTTTGTTTGTTTTAAACCTGCTACCTATTCAATTCATTTGGTGACCCCTAGTTCTTACATTGTGGGAATAAGTAAATAACTTTTCCTCATTCACTTTTTCCACACCAGTCATGATTTTATAGACCTCTATCATATCCCCCTTAGTCTCCTCTTTGCTAAATTGAAAAGTCCAAGTCTTTTTAATCTCTCTTCATACGGGACCCATTCCAAATCCCAGGCACCTTTTTTTCCTGGTCTTTCTGTTGAAGGCAACTTTGCACCCATCCACTGGTGCTTTTCCATCCCGGTTTGACCATTTCTCCTTGAAAACACGCCAATCTAGACATTTCTGTTTTGAAAATGGTCTTTCACCTGGTACGGGCCCATTCTTACTGGAAAGCAGGCTCATCGGCCAACTTGGTTTTGAGTTTAAACATTCAATTCATGCTGCAACCATTCTTCCCCCACCCCCACGACATTTTCTTTTATCAAGTTTCAATATAAAAAAACAAAGGACGAAAACAGGTGTGTTGTAAGCAAAACTCGTGAAGTCATTCTGCCGCTCTACTCTGCACTAGTTAGGCCTCAGCTGGAGTACTGTGTCCCGTTCTGGGCGCCACATTTCAAGAAAGATGTGGAGAAATTGGAAAGGGTGCAGAGAAGAGCGACAAGAATGATTAAAGGTCTAGAGAACATGACCTATGAAGCCAGGCTTCATGAACTGGGCTTGTTTAGTTTGGAAAAAAGAAGATTAAGGGGGGACATGATAGCGGTTTTCAAATATCTAAAAGGGTGTCACAAGGAAGAAGGAGAAAATTTGTTCCTCTTGGTTTCTGAGGACAGGACAAGGAGTAATGGGCTTAAAGTGCAGCAAGGGAGGTTTAGATTGGACATTAGGAAAAAATTCCTAACTGTCAGGGTGGTCAAATATTGGAATAAATTGCCAAGGGAGGTGGTGGAATCTCCCGCTCTGGAGATATTTAAGAACAGGTTAGATAGACATCTGTCAGGGATGGTGTAGACGGAGCTTGGTCCTGCCTTGAGGGCGGGGGGCTGGACTCGATGACCTCTCGAGGTCCCTTCCAGTCCTATAATTCTATGATTCTATGATTTTATGAAAATAAGGAACACAGTGAGGGTCACAGATGCTAAACTCATGGTCCCATTGTCAAGCTTGTTACAAAAGATGAAGAAACGGGTCATTCAGAGCCATTATACCTTCCCCCTCTCCCCCCGTGGCTATTGAACACTCCCAAGGCTGGACTCCCTGTACTCAATTTAGAATACAACATTATATATAACCAGACCATCCTTGCCTATCAACTCCTGGGTTATGTTTGCAGCACAACGCCTTGTTTAACCGTATGACGCTCAGTGATGCTGCAGACGTTACTCATGGCAGCATCCTGGAAGCCAGACGTGAACACTCAATTCACACTGCAACCATTTCCCCTCCCCCCCAGCCCCCGCTGACGCCGACATTTTCTTTTATCAAGTTTCAATATAATAAACAAAGGACACAATATGACTTCACTGGCAAAGAGTCTGACTAACGCAAAAACAGCTTCAAAAGCTGGCAGGCAGAGCGGCTTTTTCGCCATGCGCTGGCTAATCCGCTCGGAACAACCTCGGCGCTAATGGCTCGGAGACATGGAAAGTCAGCTCCTTCGCCCTTAAAGAACAGGCACGATTCATGCATTGCTAGCACGTCTTTTTTTTTCTTCTGTTTCTTCTTGCAAACGTAGCAAACCGACTCATCAGAAGTCTGAGGGGGGGCTGCATCTGCGTGTCCTGTGGCACCTAAAAGACAAACAGATTTATAGAATCATAGAACACTAGAACTGGAAGGGAGCTCAAAAGGTCATCAAGTCCAGTCCCCTGCCCTCACAGCAGGACCAAACACTGTTTAGACCATCCCTGGCAGGTGTCTGTCCAACCTGCTCTTAAATATCTCCAGAGATGGAGATTCCACAACCTCCCTAGGCAACTTATTCCAGTGTTTAGCCACCCTGATAGTTCGGAAGTTTTTCCTAGTGTCCAACCTCAACCTCCCTTGCTGCAGTTTAAGCCCATTGCTTCTTGTTCTATCCTCAGAGGCCAAGGAGAACAATTTTTCTCCCTCCTCCTTGTAACACCCTTTTAGATACCTGAAAACCGCTACCAGCTCCCCTCTCAGTCTTCTCTTTTCCAAACTAAACAAACCCAATTCTTTCAGTCTTCCTTTATAGGCCATGTTCTCTAGACATTCATTAATCATTCTTGTTGCCCTCCTCTGTACTTTCTCCAATTTCTCCACATCTTTCTTGAAATGTGGTGCCCAGTTCGTCAGATGCATGGAGCGGAAATCACAGATGGACAGATGTTTCCATGGAAACTTTTACAAGGTGTTCACATGCTGGAAGAGGGCTGCCTCTTGTGTTTTCAGGTTTAAGGTTGGCAAAATGTGCTGATGTATTCTAGTGGGAGTGTGGTGCACCAGACGGGGCACTGACCAGTGAGTATGGAGATGCTGGACCTGTTCCTGTCTCTACTGTTGATTGGTTGTGTAAACTCAGCTGGTTACTTCACTACTCTGTGGATCTGGCTGGAGTTTTTTCAGCACATCGTAAATTCCCCCAAGTGCTTTTTGCGGGGAACCCAAAAGCAATCACAGAAGCAGGTGGAATTGATCAAATACTTTCAAATGAACACTTCCATGGATGGTTTGTTTGTATTGCTTTTGGCTGTCTCCTGCCGCATGGGGCCACGGGTCACTTTCAGGGTGAAAACTCGTGGAAGTGGTGGATTCTCTGGAACTTGAAATCTAGAAGCCATGATTTGAGGCTGTCAGTCACTCAGCTGGATATCAGGGTCCATTTCAGGAGTCGGGGCGGGGGGGAGGTTCTGTGGCTTGTGATATGCAGGATGGCAGATGGGATCAGCTGTTTTCAAACTGTAGGTGAGGACCAGGGTTCCCTGTAAACTGAGCATTTGGGCAGTTGCCCAGGAGGGATCCAGGTGTTGCCTTGCTGATTGGCAGAGCACCCACAGCCGCCCACAGCCTTGGTGCACAGAAAAAAATTTATTCCACACATGGATACAAAAATGACTGGTCAGGTCTCCAAAGTGGGTCATGACCCCATTTCAGTGGGGTTGCCAGGGCTGGGATTAGACTTAGTGACAGGGCACGGGCTTTGGTCCCAGGTGGTGGGGCTCAGGCAACAGCGTCATCCCCACTAAGGACTGAAGTTGAAACCAGAGAGCTCCCCCCATCCCTACCCTCGGGCTTTGGTCCCCTGTCCATGTAGGAATTATTGTCATCAGAAGGGGTTCCCAGTGCCATGAAATCTGAGACAGGCCCTGCCCCCCATGATCTGAATGGTCCCTTCTGACCATAAAGTCTATGAGGACGATTGGATGTTTTGCTCCGAAATGACTTTGTGTTCAGGAATCGTAGAATCCTAGACACGTAGGCCTCAAGCGGTCATCTAGTCCAGCCCCTGCCTGGAGGCAGGAGGAGAGGTTAAAGCGACTGGGACTTTTCAGTTTAGAAAAGAGGAGACTGAGGGGGGATATGATAGAGGTCTATAAAATCATGAGTGGTGTGGAGAGGGAGGATAAAGAAAAGTTATTTATTAGTTCCCTAAATAGAAGGACTAGAGGACACCAAATGAAATTAATGGGGAGCAGGTTTAAAACTAATAAAAGAAAGCTCTTCTTCACACAGCGTGTAGTCAACCTGTGGAACTCCTTGCCAGAGGAGGCTGTGAAGGCTAGGACTATAACAGAGTTTAAAGAGAAGCTAGATAATTTCATGGAGGTTAGGTCCATAAAAGGCTATTAGCCAGGGGATAAAAGGGTGTCCTTGGCCTCTGTTTGTCAGAGGCTGGAGAGGGATGGCAGGAGACAAATCGCTTGATCATTGTCTTCGGTCCACTCCCTCTGGGGCACCTGGTGCTGGCCGCTGTCGGCAGACAGGATACTGGGCTAGATGGACCTTTGGTCTGACCCAGTACGGCCGTTCTTATGTTCTTATGTATAGAGCCGTCCCGTCCATAGAATCTCCCAGGGCGTTGGCTGCTGCCTCAAACTGCCCTATGGATGGGGCCAGGGGGGCTACATGGGAGGCTGGTGCAAGGGGGCAGATGGGGTTGCTCCCCATCCCTCACATTCACCACAAAGCGCAGCTGTCTGAGACAGGGCAGCAGAATGGCGGCCCTCCCTCCCCTGGTAATTCCCTGGCTTGCATTGCTCTGGGGAGGATGCTTCAGCAAGGGGGGTGGAGCAGGGCAGGAAGGGGGCAGGAGGCGGCGTAGGGCTTGGGGGTAAAGGCTTGCATTGCTTTGGGAAGGATGCTGCAGCAAGGGGGGGTGGAGCAGGGCAGGAAGGGGGGAGGAGGCGGCGTAGGGCTTGGGGGTAAAGGTCCCAACCATTGGTACTTACACAGCAACATCATCTTCAGGTCTCAGAGTACTCCCCCACCCCCCATTAAATATCCCTGGATCCTGGTGGTGTGCGCTAAATAAGCCAAAGTCCCCTTTTTGAGTGAATTCCACTGGGTCACTTGGCTCCGGTCCATCAGCCCCCCATGTGGGGCAGACAGGACCGACCTTGCTGCAGCCCCACTGATCCCAGCCAGCCCCTGGGGCACATGCGCTAGTCAGCACGGGAGCCGTGGTGAGAGGGAGAGCGCCACAAAGATACGGCTGCCCCTTTCCCTCGCCTAACCGCCGTGCGGAGAGGAGAAGCCCTTCCTGTTCAAAGGGCCCACGCCAGGGCGGTGTCCTACTGACGTCCGAGCGGGTGAGTTGCTTTCCCACAGACTGCCAGGCCTTTGGGAGAACCAGAGTTACAGGTTGGACCTCTCTGGTCCGGCACCCTCAGCACCTGACTGGTCCTGGATGAGGGATTTTGCTGGAGGTCGCTTCTGGCTTCTCTGATGCTGGGCCCATCCCATCAGGCTCCCTGGTTTCCCTGGCGGCCCAAATGGGTCATGCACCAGGCTTCCTGCTCCCCTCCCCCATGCCCGCAGCCCAGCTAAGCTAGGTGCCAGCTCCCACTCCCTTCCCCCATGCCCGCAGCTCAGCTAAGCTAGGTGCCAGCTCCCACTCCCTTCCCCCATGCCCGCAGCTCAGCTAAGCTAGGTGCCAGCTCCCACTCCCTTCCCCCATGCCCGCAGCTCAGCTAAGCTAGGTGCCAGCTCCCACTCCCTTCCCCCATGCCCGCAGCTCAGCTAAGCTAGGTGCCAGCTCCCACTCCCTTCCCCCATGCCCGCAGCTCAGCTAAGCTAGGTGCCAGCTCCCACTCCCTTCCCCCATGCCCGCAGCTCAGCTAAGCTAGGTGCCAGCTCCCACTCCCTTCCCCCATGCCCGCAGCTCAGCTAAGCTAGGTGCCAGCTCCCACTCCCTTCCCCCATGCCCGCAGCTCAGCTAAGCTAGGTGCCAGCTCCCACTCCCTTCCCCCATGCCCGCAGCTCAGCTAAGCTAGGTGCCAGCTCCCACTCCCTTCCCCCATGCCCGCAGCTCAGCTAAGCTAGGTGCCAGCTCCCACTCCCTTCCCCCATGCCCGCAGCTCAGCTAAGCTAGGTGCCAGCTCCCACTCCCTTCCCCCATGCCCGCAGCTCAGCTAAGCTAGGTGCCAGCTCCCACTCCCTTCCCCCATGCCCGCAGCTCAGCTAAGCTAGGTGCCAGCTCCCACTCCCTTCCCCCATGCCCGCAGCTCAGCTAAGCTAGGTGCCAGCTCCCACTCCCTTCCCCCATGCCCGCAGCTCAGCTAAGCTAGGTGCCAGCTCCCACTCCCTTCCCCCATGCCCGCAGCTCAGCTAAGCTAGGTGCCAGCTCCCACTCCCTTCCCCCATGCCCGCAGCTCAGCTAAGCTAGGTGCCAGCTCCCACTCCCTTCCCCCATGCCCGCAGCTCAGCTAAGCTAGGTGCCAGCTCCCACTTGTGCCGGGACTCTCTGATCCTGGAACATCCATGGTCCTGCCAAACCACGGATGTTGCCAGACCAGTGAGTTCATAGAGGAGCCACCTGCGCTGCTTTGAAGCCCTGAGTCCCAGTCCTCCTGCTCTAGATATGAAACGGTACATCCGCCCCCTATACGACGACAACCCCTCCCCTCCACCTGGTTGTCCCACTGGAAAAACATACCGTTTTCCATAGGCAGGGGAGCTTTGGGTTACTAGGAACACAAATCATTAGCTCTAACACGGCATTCCCAATTCATTGTACTTGTTTTAGGTATAATTTTATTACTTACTCCACATTTTCCATGTGTTTCACCTCACGCGCGTCCATTCAGGACTGTACATGGAAATTTGGGCTCCTCGCCACGGGGCTAATGTGTTGAAGGCTTTATAAACAGTCTTGTTTCATTGTTTTCTCTGCATGTTTCTATCCCAAGGGTGTGTGACTAAAGTTATGTTTGGTACACGTCCGAGCATTCTGCGAGATGGGGGAAAGGGAGGGAGACAGAAAAGCAGCCATTGAGGTGATAAGCTGGAGAAAATAAAGGACATACAATTATTCAACCCCTCCCCCTCATCCCCAGCAAGGAAAATCTTGAGAGTCCAGTTAAAAAAGTCTCTTGCCAAAGACAGAAGGCCGGATTTTCCATGAGCTGCAGACAATATAAAGAATTGCTGGATAAATCATATACACATAATTAGAGCTTCCGTCAACTCCTGAAACATACCTCTCTGGAGGAAAAGATCTCCGTTAGCTGGCGGTAGGAGAAGGTTCTTTATTTTCTCTAGGGTGTAGCTTTGGAGGAAAAGATCTCCGTTAGCTGGCGATAGTAGAAGGTTCTTTATTTTCTCTAGGGCGTAGCTTCTAGGGGTATGTCTACACCGCAATATTATTTTGAAATAATTTAGTGCATGTCTGCACAGAAGGCAGTTATTTCGAAATAATGTTGAAATACTGTCAGAGTGTGTCTAGATTACAGGGGGGAGCTTTGAAAAAGTCGCCTTTTTTTTAAAAAAAAACTTCACCGGTGTCTAGACCGCCGCCTCCTTCTTTTGAAATTAAATCGAAAGAACACGGCAGTGTTTTCGACCGCAATAAACCTCATTGTACGAGAAATAACGCCTTTTTTCCAAAGTGCTCTTTTGCAAAAAGGCGTTCTTGAACGCAAACAGGGCTTTTTCGAAAGACAGCATCCGGATTGCCTGGGTACTCTCTGTCGAAAAAGCGGCTCTCTTTTTCCAAAAAAGTGGTTGCTGGCTAGACGATCTCTTTCGAAAGAAGCTTTTTCGAAAGATTCTTTCGAAAAAGGTTTTTCGGAAGAGGCTTGTAGTCTAGACGTAGCCTCAAGCTGGAGGACGTCTTACGCTGACTCCTGTAACCCTCATTGTACAAGGAGTAAGGGAAGCTGGAGGAAGGGTGCTCTATTTCGAAGTAAGTGCTGTGTAGATTCTCCCAATTTCAAAATAAGCTATTTTGACGTAAGCTACGCAAAGGATGTCGCTCAATTTGCGTCGCTTCTTTCGAGGTAAGCCTTGCTGTGTAGACGCACCCTAGAAGTCACCATGACATGCACAGATAGAACACTATTGCTCACACGCAGAGGTGAAAGTACGTGGAGGTGCCCTGGTGCGCAGCTCCAGCAAAAGCTGGCTGAGCTTGGGCAAAAGCCAGGAGGGAACTCTTTAAAGAGTTGGCAGAGATCAGGGTTGCAATTGGACAGCACCTGTAAGAAATTTTAAGTTACTTTCATGACAGCACATGCCACCCCCTAAACTGCCAGGCTAAAAACTTGACTGTGTATGTGTGTGCAAATCAGGAACGCTCAGTGACATCATTTGTACCTGTACACTCAGGCTATGTGTACATTGCACTGGTTTTGTGCAAAAAATATGCAAATAAGGCAAAGCATGGAATATCAACGCACCTCATTTGCATAATTAATGTTTTTGCACAAAAACCCTCTCTTGTGCAAGAGCCGTTCTTCCACATTTTTTTTCAGGAAGAACAGCTCTTGCACAAGAGGGGGGTTTTGCGCAAAAAAGAGCCGTGTAGATGGCTCCTTTTTACGCAAAAGCCTCTTGCGCAAAAATGTAGCCTAGTTAATTATGTAAATGAGGTGCAGCCATAGTCCACGCTTTGACTCATTTGCATATTTTTGGCACAAAACTGACGCAGTGCAGACATAGCTTCAAGGTTTTTTCGTGTGCAAAAGTATTTGGCATATTTTTGGCACAAAACTGACGCAGTGTAGACATAGCTTCAAGGTTTTTTTGTGTGCAAAAGTATGGGTGCTGACTTAGAGGCTGCATTTAAAGGTCTTTTTGCAGTGTATCTATTTCTGTTCATGGATACTGCGTAACATCATCCTTCGGATCCTTATTGGCATGACATTCATTTCCACCAGGCTGGTCTCATATATTTTGTATAATCCGCTTGTGTATTCTTAATGACACCTTTGTTAATTAATGTTTTGGTTCCTTCTTGGTCAATGCACCTATTCCATATCCACAGCACCTGGGTGGAACACACACAAGATTATGATCTTTTACGCACCCTTCCAACCTCGTAAGGACCAGCAATTGTTTGCGATGTGAATTTTGCTTGAGTAAGATCTGCAGGCTTTTCCCCTTGACATTTTCCCTTACGTTGTGTGATATCAGCACCTTCTGGAACTATGGAAAAATGAAAAGTCTCAGAGGGATCTCCGTGTTAGTCTGTAACTTTACAAACAATGAGTAGTCCTGTGGCACCTGAGAGATGAACACAAATATAGAGTATCAAGAGCTTTTGTGGGCAAAACCCACTTCTTCAGATGAGCTGGAGTGAAAAAAAACGGGAACCCAGAATGTATAACAGAAAAAGAAGGGGGGAAGTACCTGCCAATCGTAGTGCCGGTGCTAATTAGGCTAATGTAGTAGGCTGGAAGTACCCCATACTTAGCTCCTGATGTCAATAAGATGTTAAACGTATGGAAGGCTGGTTTTATAATGGGGCATCCAGTTAATGTCTTTGTTCAAGCCTAGGGAAACAGTGTCAAACTTGCATTGGATTGTCAATGCCTCACTCTCTATCTCTCTGTGTAATTGGGTGGTGAAATTCCTTTGTAGCGGAATGGCTACTTTTAAATCCACGATTGAGTGCCCAGGCAGGTTACCATGTCTGATGTCTGACTTGTGTCCATTTCTCCTTAGCCGTAGAGTCTGTCCAGTTTGGCTAATATCTATGGCAGAGGGGCCTTGCTGGCTCTCTCACATTAGAAGATGTGCAGCTATAGGAGCCTCTGAGGGAAAAATAGCTTCTGCAACCCACAGCAGTGCCGGATCAAATCAGTGCTCAGTTCCCATGAACACCGGGCTGTGTGTGAAGATACCGTAGTTAAGGGGACTTTCTGACATTAAGAAATAGGGGGAAAATAGTATTCTAAGGCAAAGAAGGGATGAGGAGGGGAGACTGAATTAACACATCTGGTTATGTAATTACATTTACTAAAAAGTTTACAATCCAAACTACCCATACGTAATTGATCGGACTAGCGTGGTGTGTCACTTTCACTTACTCATATTAAGCCGCTGGTTTCACCTAGCTTCACCCTGGGCTAACCTTCGCTGTTGACCTGCTACAGTACACTTATTAAAGCTGCAATTACGGGGTGACTCTTAATAGCTAGGTCTCGGTTCAGAGGAGGGGGGGAATGTTTCTGTAGCTCACATGTGACAATTAAAGATAATTTACAATGGTAAGTAATTGGGCTGGGATTCTGGAAACTAATGGAGAGGTCCTGTCCCAGGCATCTGACAGGCACGGTGGGGTATTTTGACAAGTTTTGCGCTGACTTCCATTAAATACCAACGAGGGGTTTTATTTTCTTTGGAGTCGCTGGTCAGGAAATGGTGTTTGTGAAAGGTCAGGCCTGGAAGAGATGGGAGGGGATGTAGGTGTTACTCAGCTCCTATACCATGGGGATCTAATTTCAATGTAAACCTTAAATCCTTCTCAGCGTCGTGATTCTTGCCTCCGGCGTAAGCCTCGAACTGCAGAGATATAGGGCCTGATCCAACGCCAGCACAAGTCTCTCCGTTGACTTTGCATAGGTCTTGGTTCAGACCCCCAAAAGAAGCACCAGGAATGGAAGTTCCAAGAGAAATTGTCCTCAGTTCTCTGAAGACCTGGTGGGACCCAGACCACTGCCTTTTTTAAGAATGAGTAATCACCAATGTTCATAAAGTTTAGAGGCTTGGGTAAAGACCAAATGTCTGGCTGCTTTGCCGTTTCCCTTTGTGGATTTTCCACAATTCTTATGCCTGCAGAACTGCAGGAGAAATCTCAGTTGTCTCGAAAGGGATAGGTTCTGAATATTACCAAAATCACACCCTGAAACTTTTGCTAGCATAACCAATTGCTAACATATAGTTCAGTGTTGTGATCAGGAAAGCAAGCTCCAGCATTTTATGCCAAGTCTACACGACCAGACAATGTCGAACTAAGGTACGCAACTCCAGCAATGTGAATAGTGTAGCTGGAGTCGATGTTCCTTCATTTGAATTAGTCATGTCTCCACTAGGCAGGGGTCAATGGGAGAAACTCTTCCGTTGACTCCTCTTACTCTTCTCTACCCGATGGAGTATTAGAATCAATGGGAATGTGATCAGCGGTCAATTTAGCAGGTCTTTGCTAGACCCACTAAATCAACCCCTGAGATTGATCTTCACAGCACCAATCTCCCAGTAAGTGTAGACAAGGCCCTAGGCTAGAGAACGGATGTTAGGATGCCTAACCTTTAATCAAGGGATTGCCATCTGATCCCTGGGATAAGAGGCATATGCTTGATGGATTGTGTACATCCCGTTGCCTTTCTCTTCCTTGACTCATTTCTTCTCTTCTTCTTCCTGCAAAGCTCTTACTTGACAGACAGGTATCCATTTAAGTCACCCACCAAATCCCAGGTGGGAAGGGGTGTAGCCCCATCCTTTCACCTGCCTGGAGATTCTGTCTCTTTTCTGTATGCTTTTATGAGAATCACTCCCCTTCCAGGCACATCCCATTTTCCTGACACAACAAAACCTTCACTTTTAAGATATGCTACGAAGAAGCTGAATGCAGAATTTGGTGGTCCTAGCTCTTACCCATTTAGGAGGCGTTCTTGAACGAACAGACAGACTCACAGACAGACAGATGCACAGACTCTCTCAAAAATATAGTAGATTTCAAATGATCCCAGCTGGTTGTAAAACTAATCTAAGTGTACTCATTAATAGACATATGGAATGTTAAAAATGAAATGGATGTTAAGTGTGTAGTGTCTGTCAGTATGCAGGGACTTGGATTTGCTATTTTGCTGGCTGCATCTAGACAACACCTCTCAGTTGACAGAGAGATGTAGATTAGGCACGTTGAAATTGCTAATGAGGCAGGGATTTAAATATCCCGCGCTTCATTAGCATAAACATGGCCGCCCTTTTTTTCTAAACAGCTTTTTTGGAGGAAAAAAATGAGGTTTACAGGATCTTTTGAAAAAAGGTCTATTTTTGAAAGATCCATGTGTAGACTGCCGTTTTTTTTTTTCAAAATATCTCCGTTTCGGAAAAAAGCCGCGGCCATGTTTATGCTAATGAAGCGTGAGATATTTAAATCCCTGGCTCTTTAGCAATTTCAGCATGCCTAATCTACATCTCTCTTTCGACAGAGAGGTGTAGTCTAGATGTACCTGCTGTGATGAAAGATCAGTGAACTAAAGCATTACATATGAGGCAAAAATACAAGATTTTTTTTAGACTGATTTCAAGTATGACTGAAATCACTGTCTCTCTTTCATTAAGAAGCCCTAGCTATGCTCATACATAACACAAAACGTGGTACAAGTATCCAGAGAGAAATGGAACAGAACCTGTATCCCAGAGTGTCATGTAGGCAAGATGAGGGCTTCCTGGGAGTTATTCCAACAAATGCCAACACTCTGAACAATCCAGCATTCCTACAGCCGTATCCCAGAGTCTCTACAATCTGGCAAGTGAGGTTTGTAGGAACATCAACTGGCTGTCTCCACTGTGGCTGGAAAGGGCTCTAAGGGTATGTCTACACTACCCCCCTAGTTCGAACTGGGGGGGTAAAGTAGTCATACGGAGTTGCAAATGAAGCCCGGGATTTGAATTTCCCGGGCTTCATTTGCATAAAGCCAGCCGGCGCCATTTTTAAATGCCGGCTAGGTCGGACCCTGTGCCGCGCAGCTACAAGCAGCACGGACTAGCTAGTTCGGATTAGGCTTCCTAATCCGAACTAGCTGTACACGAGGCGTACACGTTCCACGAGGCGTACAGCTAGTTCAGATAGGAATCCTAAGAGACTTAGATGTATTTGCTAGAATTGTATATTTAGGGATCTTCCAATGTTGCGCTACACTCTGTAGCTAGTTTTTTGACCTGAACATTTAGATCACCTGTGTTGATCGCAATGAGATTACCCAAACTTCTCCACTTTGGTCTGTGCAGCATCATTGGAGAATATTTTGGGGGTAGCCTTTTTATGTTTTTCAACACATAACACATAGGAAAATAACACACTATAGAAACTTGGCAATGGGTGAGTTTGGAGTAGCCAAGTTGGGCATGGAAAAAAAAATCAGACAATGAAAGGCTGCTACTAGCCAAGTTTTAAGTGAGTACACAATACATACCTTTTTTGCCTTCGTTATTGGCCAACTTGGCGCGGGGCTCACGGAAAACAGTGAAATGGAATTAGTTTAATTTTTGTATGCTCTTTTTTGAACAAGCAAAAGTTCTTACAAGCAATAATTTAATTATGGCGAAAGAGGAACACAGACATGGCTTCATGGATGGACCATAGCAAAACTTATTTTGTGTACTGTACTGTTCTTTTTCAAGCCCAGATGATCTAATGCTATTGCTATTTATGATTATTTTAAAATTATTTATTAAAAAGCATGTCATAAAGTAGAAAATTACTGGTGCTGGCTGAGCGCATTTCCAAACAGCCTCACTTAAACCTGAATGTTGTAAGTCAATTAGGCTAATAAACTTTTTGCATTGAGCTGGGTGGAAGGGGGAGGCGCATTTTTGGACTAGATGTAGTGTGTTTTGTTACGCTGGGATCAAAAGGAAGACTGTTAACAAGTGGCTTTTGAAATTGACAAACCGTGGTGTCTCTCTTCCGGCGCTCTGTTTTGTGTGGCAGCTCTTCTCCGACGTGGCTTCTGTCTGCCATAACATGTTTCCACAGATTTTGTCTTTTCCCTGAGGTATTTCAGGTGGATTGTTGATGCAGAGCAAGTTTCTTGCTGACGTAGGTTGGGTATTAAACATCCATGGTTTGGCGCTTGCTTTTGGCTTGCCCGATGCCTTGGAATTTTTATGAGGACATACTGTTTCAAAAAAATAAAATAAAATGAATGATTTGATCCTGAGCAGATCCTAAAACCTTTCTAGTTTGGATTCAAGCGCTGAAAAGATACTGGGTTTTCTGTGGACTTGACTACACTGGCGACTTTTGGACCATTTTAATTATGCAAATGTAGTTGCCCAATTGCAGCATTCTCTTGGAGATTTGCTGCACCAGCTTCAAAAGCAGCTGGCAGAGGGAGGAAAGGCCTAATGCTGAAGAACTAGCCTCACAGCTGAAATAAACATAGGATGAGTAGGGAGAAGGACATGACGCTAAAGAGCTGACTACTAGCTGGAAGCATTTGAAGCTGTAGAGTGAAAAAAAATGGCACCAAAACCTAACACAGGAGAAACGCTGGAAACAGAGCAAGAAGAGAGGTTGCACTTTATACTACAGAAGCCAGTTGAATATGCAGAATCCACCTCTTTTTCAACAAGAGCTGGTGAAAATGTATCCATCAAACCTAATTTGCAAGGGAAAATGGCCTTTTCTGACTAAATGAACTTTAATTTTTTTTTACATTTTTTTAAACTTTTGGTCACACCCTCCCCCGTAAAAAAAAAATCTTTTTTTTTTCTGTTTCTATTTTGTCATTGGAAAAAAGTATAAAAAGCAAAAACTTTTTTAAACAATCAGTTTTGGCTTCTTTTTGTGAGAGAGAGAAAAAAATGAAAAAAAATCTGAGGACATTTTGGATACGTCTGCACAGTGGCGCTCTTTCAAATAGCATTCTGACCTGTCCACCCAAGAAGCCTGTTATTTTGAAATACATTCAGACCAACGGGCTTCTGATTCCAGCTTCCTGTAAACGTTGTTGCGCAAGGATCAAGGACGATGCCGGAATCGCAATTTATTTTGACATTTAGCAATGTGGCAACAGCGCCCTATTTCGAAATCAGCGATGCAATTTGCCCAGCTCAAATGGCGTCACGTAGTTCAAGGCACGTGCTGCGGTGTTCAAATTGGTCACGCCTGCTTCAAAGGTAGCTTGCCAACATGCAAGCCAAGGGTCTCGAAGTTTTCCACAAAAAGCAATTGGCATTCTTTGCCCAGCCATAGTCAATTGCAAGGCATTACCAAGTAGTTTCCCAGTCCACGTCGAGAGTCACATGTCCATGACAAATGAATGGAAACCGTTTCCGAGACGGTGAGAATCCCCCAGCGGGTGTCATGTCTGCAGTGCAAAAACCCACAGAGAGGCGTCTCCAAACCGCCACCCGGGCACAGCGTGGCACACCACATCAATTGAGCAGTCGGCTCGCTGGGAAAACTTCACCGCAATCTGTTTACTTGTGTGTCACGGGTGGGGAAGTGGTAGCATGACAAGCCTCGTCGAGTTCCACATGGAAAAGGCAAGTGAGGTCACTCCTAATTATACCCTTGGTGCGGCTTTACATGATCTAACATACCTGGCACATGAGACGTCTGCTCTGCCTCATGCAGCATTCGGTAACGGGTACGACTGGTTCAACGCAGTGCCCAGATTCAAGCACTGACGTGGATGGGAACAGTAAACATGAGGAGGAACTAGCCATCGTGAGGTGTTGGAGTCATGTTCAACAGGTAACTACTTGATTTTGGACATAAGCAGTGGCGAGTTGGGTTAAAATGACATAACTGGCATGAGAAATGGTTCAGAAAAGAGCAACAAAAAGGAGAAGGTTTAGAATAGCTGCCATATGAAGAGAGATTAAAATGACTGAGATTTTTCAGTTTAAAAAAAGAGGAGACTAAGGCGGATGTAACAGAGGTCTATAAAGTCAAGACAGGATACTGGGTTAGATGGACCTTTGGTCTGACCTAGTACAGTCGTTCTTATGAGAGACCTGAGATTTACAGGATCTTTCAAAAAAGAAAGAACCGTGTCTAGACCGCAGTTTCACTTTCGAAATAACATTTTTTGAAAGAACGCCGTGACACAATTATAGAATCATAGAATCATAGAATACTAGGACTGGAAGGGACCTCGAGAGGTCATCAAGTCCAGTCCCCTGCCGTCATGTCAGGACCAAACACTGTCTAGACCATCCATGACAGACACTTATCTAGTCTACTCTTAAATATCTCCAGAGATGGAGATTCCACAAACTCCCTGGGCAATTTATTCCAGTGTTTGACTATCCTGACAGTTAGGAACGTTTTCCTAATATCCAACCTAAGCCTCCCTTGCTGCAGTTTAAGCCCATTGCTTCTTGTTCTATCCTCAGAGGCCAAGATAAACAAGTTTTCTCCCTCCTCCTTATGACACCCTTTTAGATATCTGAAAACTGCTATCATGTCCCCCCTCAGTCTTCTCTTTTCTAAACTAAACAAACCCAATTCTTTCAGCCTTCCCTCATAGGCCATGTTCTCTAGACCTTTAATCATTCTTATTGCTCTTCTCTGGACCATCTCCAATTTCTCCACATCCTTCTTGAAATTTGGTGCTCAGAACTGGACACAATACTCCAACTGAGGCCTAACCAGCGCAGAGTAGAGCGGAAGAATAACTTTTCGTGTTTTGCTCACAACACACCTGTTAATGCAACCCAGAATCATGTTTGCTTTTTTTGCAACAGTATCATACTGCTGTCTCATATTCAGCTTCTGGTCCACTATAACCCCTAGATTCCTTTCTGCCGAACTCCTTCCTAGACAGTCGCTTCCCATTCTGTATGTGTGAAACTGATTGTTCCTTCCTAAGTGGAGCACTTTACATTTGTCTTTATTAAACTTCATCCTGTTTACCTCAGACCATTTCTCCAATTTGTCCAGATCATTTTGAATTATAACCCTATCCTTCAGATTAGTCGCGACCCCACCCAGCTTGGTATCATCTGCAAACTTAATAAGCATACTTTCTATGCCAATAAATCATTGATGAAGATATTAAACAGAGCTGGTCCCAAAACAGATCCCTGCAGAACCCCACTTGTTATACCTTTCCAGCAGGATTGTGAACCATTAATAACTACTGTCTGAGTACGGTTATCCAGCCAGTTATGCACCCACCTTATTGTAGCCCCATCTAAGTTGTATTTGCCTAGTTTATTGATAAGAATATCATGCGAGACTGTATCAAACACCTTACTAAAGTCTAGGTATACCACATCCACCGCTTCTCCCTTATCCACAAGACTCATTATCCTATCAAAGAAAGCTATCAGTTTGGTTTGACATGATTTGTTCTTTACAAATCCATGCTGGCTCTTCCCTATCACCTTGCCACCTTCCAAGTGTTTACAGATGATTTCTTTAATTACTTGTTCCATTATCTTCCCTGGCACAGAAGTTAAACTAACTGGTCTGTAGTTTCCTGGGTTGTTCTTATTTCCCTTTTTATAAATGGGCACTATATTTGCCCTTTTCCAGTGTTCTGGAATCTCTCCTGTCTCCCATGATTTTCCAAAGATGATAGCTAGAGGCTCAGATACCTCCTCTATCAGCTCCTTGAGTATTCTAGGATGCATTAAATCAGGCCCTGGTGACTTGAAGGCATCTAACTTTTCTAGGTAATTTTTAACTTGTTCTTTTTTTATTTTATCTTCTAAACTTACCCCCTTCCCACTAGCATTCACGATGTTAGGCATTCCTTCAGACTTCTCGGTGAAGACTGAAACAAAGAAGTTATTAAGCATCTCTGCCATTTCCAAGTTTCCTGTTACTGTTTCTCCCTCCTCACTGATCAGTGGGCCTATCCTGTCCTTGGTCTTCCTCTTGCTTCTAATGTATTTATAAAAAGTCTTTTTGTTTCCCTTTATTCCCGTAGCTAGTTTGAGCTCATTTGGTGCCTTTGCCTTTCTAATCTTGCAATTTGCCTTTCTAATTATGCAAATGAAGTGTGGGAAATTCAAATCCCAGCTTCATTTGCAATTTCTATGTGTTTAATTTACATCCCTCTGTCGAAGGAGGGATATAGTCTAGACATAGCCTAAGGGGATATGATAGAGATCTATAAAATCATGACAGGTATGGAGAAGTGAATAAGGAAAAGCTTGTTCCCATAACATAAGAACTAGGGGTCACCAACTGAAATGAATAGGTAGCAGGTTTAAAACAAAAAAAAATGAAGTATTTCTTCACACAGAGCACAGTCAACCTGTGAAACTCCTTGCCAGAGGATGTTGTGAAGACTAGGACTTTAACGAGGTTCAAAAAATAACTCGATAAATTCATGGAGGATATGTCCATCAATACTTATTAGCCAGGGTGGGTAGGAGTGGTGTCCCTTGTCTCTGTTTGTCAGAAGCTGGAAAAGGGTGACAGAAGACGGCTCGCTTGATGATTCCCTATTCTGTTCACTCCCTCTGGGGCATCTGATATTGGCCGCTGTTGGAAGACAGGATACTGGTTAGATGGACATTTGGTCTGACCTAGTATGGTCATTCTTTTGTTCTTATGAAAGACCAGACTGGATTTTATTGGCATTGTATGTGTGGTGGTGTGGTATGGCTACTGCATTTGCATGTCATAATAATAGCTTAGATTAATGCATTATGGGTAATACTCCCAGGTGAGACCAGTGTCACTGTCTGGCCCCTTCACAAAGGCAGGGGAGTGTGGGAGCTTGTGGAAGAAAGGGAGTGGACAGCACTTGGGAGAGAGAGTCAGGAGAAGAACTGGGTTTGCCATTGACCTGCCCCACGGTCATTCACCCTCTGTTTACACGGCTGCTCTTTGCCTGGGTCCCCATTACAAATAAAGTATCAGTTACACTTTTGTCCTCTTCTTTCCTAGACATGGAATAGCCATGATGTGTCCTCAATAATCTAAACAATACCCCATTACTAAGAGGTACATACGCATTTGACAGCAAGGGCAACTGAAAAATACTGAGACTTTGGGTTTGTCTTTACTTACCCTGAGAGTGACACTCCAGAGATCAATCTCTTAGGGTTTGATTTAGCGGGTCTAGTAAGGACCCACTAAATGGAGCACTAATGGTGCCCCTGTCAGCCCTGATACTCCACCAGGTCAAGAGGAGTAAGGGGAGTCAATGAAAGAGCTTCCCCTGTCAGCCTCCCCCAGTGAGGATGCTGCAGAAATTCAGCCTAAAGTACGTTAAGTCCAACTACACTGTTCTCATAGCTGGAGTTGCCTACCTTAGGTCAACTTTTTCCAGTAGTGAGGGTTCTGGCCTAAGTGACTTTGCCCAATATTACACATTCATCCTGTGGCAGAGTTGGTTATGGGACTCAGGAGTCCTGACGTTGAGTCTTTAGCCACAGGACCATGCATCTCTCCCTTAGCATCCCCAGAAGTTTTATGAAATACTCAGAAAATTATGAAGGCATTGGTAAGGCGAGAGGGGGCGGGGGAGAAGGAGTCCCTCAAAACCCAGAACTCATTCCTGCGCTGCACCGCCAAGCCCTATTCTTAGCCTCTGCTACTCCCTTGTTTGTTTGCTCATCCCAGACAGGAAACCACCCAGCAGCCTTTTCAGGGTTTGGTTTGTTCAGATGAGAAGAATTTCACCCAAGTGTGAGAACCTCGTGATGTCAGAGGGACATACCGTCCTGTTGCAAGGCTTCTGGAATCGTCCTGCTTTTGATTGTTAATGAAGTTACGGTGAGCAACACGCCGGCGTTAGACATGTTCCCACACGATGGCTGGTATTTATTGTTCTTGGTGACTTTCTTACTCCATTCCGATCTCCGCTGCTGTTTCAACACCTCTGTTATTGGCAAGGCTTGATACTGGCTTTGCTGGTGCTAGTGCACAGACCTCTAACCCCTTTAGAAAAAACAAAAATTAACTCCATTAGCCGACGAGCATTCTTTGTTGCTGAGTGAAATGGGGCCCCGGACGTACTTAGCCAAGGTGCTAGACAATTTTGCTCTCTGCTGCACATGTGTTTCTTCAGCCTGCCTGTGTTTACACTGACCTCACTGCAGGGCCATCCTTACTTATAGGCAGAAGACGCAGCTGCGTAGGGCACCTGAAAATGTGGGGCACCGCTGGGTTTTAATGTCCACCCTCCTGTGTCTTCCTATCCCTGTTTTGTGGCTCAGCTTTCTCCGGAGAGGATCTAGTTAATTTAAAAGTGACAAAGCCGAGCAGAGCTATGAGAAGACAGGGAACCTATGAAAGAGCCATTCCAGTGGTCATGAAGCCATCGAACAGGCATTTGCCAGCCCCAGGTATGTCCTGTCTGTTTCTGAATTTACGGTGTTCGTCGACAGCTGGGGTGTCACACTCCTGGCCCATGGGCCATCCTTGGCCGAAGTAATTGAGCAATCTGGACTAGGGGCATTACATCCCTCTTTCGAAAGAGGGACGTGGTCTAGACATGCCCCTAGGAGTCCTGCCAGGCTGGGGAGGGGGGCCGGCTCTCTGCTCCCATTGCCCAAGCCTTTCTCCTTCCAACCACCACTCTGCCCTCTCCCCCATGGCACCCTGTCCCCCCAGTTATGCCATCTCAGGGGGGCCTGGTGCAGGACGGCAGCAGAGCAGAGACACTTGGCAGGTCCTCTCATTCTGCTTCCCTGTTGCATCTGTCACTGTCGGGGGGCCCAAGTGCTGCTGCTGCCTGGCACCAGGCCTCCTGAAAATCCCCAAAGCCGCATCCTTG